TAACGGTGAAGATAAGAGTGTGGTCTCTGAACAAGAGCCATGGACGACTGATGGTGACAGCAAAGGATGTTTTCTTCTGCTTCAAACAAGTTTCACGGTCGTCTTTATCTCGGGCCGGGTTACTTCAACCCACCTGACCCGGACCAGGCCCAAAGATTTTGGATATTTTTCATACCCATTCAACAACAACATTTTGCTGCATCTTCTTGCAGATGAATTAGACAAGAAGAGTCAATTAAATATGTTTTGATTATGAGTTTGCAGCCAAAAGAAACTATTATGATTTTTATACTCATTGTTGATAATATTTCTCTTTACCTGGATTATGTATGTATTTGATATTTTGGTAGAGATGGAACTCAGAACTGAATACAACCCCAAATTTAACTCGGATCTTTTTTGGTTCTTTTCAAATGAGTCAGTGAACTTGCAAGTTGCAAAGCAACAATGGCATATATCATCATAACCAGACCAAAAAATCATAAGTCATAGAATCTAACAAAATGAGATACAATTATCTATGTATATGATTATATATATAGATATGTCTATATAGGTTAGATACAAAAATGAGTCGAAAATCTCAGTCTCTGAGCTTCATCTAAACCTGCGTTTAGTCTCTCCATAAGCAACAACACCGCAAACAGTTATACTGTACCCGCCAATCCCCATCACCGTGACCGGGTTTCGGAAAAGCAGGATTGATATCACAACTGCAACCGCTCCTTTAGCATTTCCAAGGACCTGAAACATTAACGTACACATGCTTGATCCAATTTGACACACCTCTAATTATGTAAACGTTCAAATATGTTCAGTTGTTTACCTGGAGGGTGAGCGCGCTTGTGTGCTTGGTTACCAAAAAGTTTAACAAGTTGGCGGAATAAGCCATTACAGAGTTAATCAGAAGAAGTAACCACATGTACTGATGTTGTCTTCCGAGCGATAGAGTCACGCTCATCACATCGGGTTCCATAACAATTGTGACGGGCAGAAGAGCAATGACGGCTATCGGGGACATGTACAGCATCAAATTCATCGAATTCAACTTTTCTCTGCAAGAAAACTTAAAAATATATTAAACACTAAGATGATCATTACTCATTAAGTATCTAAAGCTTCCTACATTGCTTATTCAACTGGTTGCAGAAACTTCTACAATATATAACATGTATAAAGGTTTTCTGATTCATTGAGTAAATACATTGCAGAAGCAAAGCAATGATCTTAATAATGGACTTACCCCTCCGAAGAAAGTAAGATGCCTTGAAGAACAGATTTAAAAGCTCTTGCAGCAGTAGCACTAATGCACATAATGAATCCAAACCAGTGAAACCCTGGTTCACCCTGTAACCACAAAGGCAGACCCAGATCAGGATTATTCAGAACAGAAATCACAAAATCAATGAACCAAACATCTGTTAATAAAGGCCTTGCAAAGATATCAAATAATTCACAGAACAATGTTGATTGGTAAAAATGGCAGTAGTTATAAGAAAAAAGTCTGAAGCTTTAGACTACACAGGAACCGACAAAGCAGCCTGCTAGAAACCATTAAAGGATGAAGCTTTTTATATGACACAGCAGCACTCAAAAATCGAATTGTAGACACAATGTAATCACATTCATGTAAATAACCTGCTAGAAACCATTAAAGGATGAAGCTTTTTATATGACACAGCAGCACTCAAAAATCGAATTGTAGACACAATGTAATCACATTCATGTAATCGTGTAAATAACCATGAAACAAAGCTAATCTAATTTGGGTTTCAGACACATAGGCGGAACACAAACAAGCATCTATATATAATGCTCTAAACTAACAACAGATCAGACATCAGAATCGCTAGATGAAGAAGAACACATTTTCGTCAAAATCTGTAGAACATCATGAATCAATGACAACAGAACCAGAAACGCCAGAATCAAAAATCAACATCCAAAAACGTATTCATTACGAGAAATGTAGAATTAAAGACGTACCCCACTGGCGATAACGACACCGGTAACAACGGGGACGAGAGCACCATAAGTGACCCAAGCTTCTCTCTTAAAGGTCATGATATAAGCGAAGAGTGCAGTGAAAAACGGCGTCGTGGCACCAACGGCTTGATTGAAGGAGACGGGGAGGTAACGAAGGGAGATGTTACCGCCGACGACGGAGGCACAGAAGACAATGCTGAGAGTCGCAACCTTGAGGAACTGAGAACGAGATTTGAGGTATTGAAGAGGGACGAGCTTGAGGAAGACGATGGAGACGTAGCTGAGGATTGCGCAAGCGGACATGTGGCACATTGTGAGAAAAATGGGGAATTTGAATCCGTAATTGGAGAGGAGGAACTTGTTGAGGAGAAGAACACCGATGTTGGAGGTGTACCAGAAGACGATTAAGGATGATATGAAGAGGGTTTGTTTCTTCGGAGAAGATGAAGAAGACGACATATCTGATTTCTGATCTGGGTTCTTCTTGTTCATCTTTGTCGATGAGATCGAGAGATTTTGGTTTAATTCTTTTTTTTTGGGGTGGGAGAAAGAAAAAGAGAGAAATTAGCTCCTTCCCTCGAGCATGGGACGACAAAGAAGATGAAAGCTCTCAGATGAGGAAAAAAGCCTTTAATTTTTGGTTTTCAGAAAAAAAAGAGAAAAAAAAAAATTAAGTATAATTGTTGTTTGATTTGTTTGGTAAACGTAGTTAATGCAATTGACCAATAAAAAAGAGTGATTAATGCATTATTAAATTAGAAACTATTTTTGGGAAAATATTGAATTGGCTAATTTTGATTTTGGAGTTTTAAAATTATTATTTCTTCTAAAAATATTAGTTATTGTGATACTATTGAGTTGTTGAAATTTGTGTTACAGTGATAATTACAAAGGAACAAAAATTCAACCGTCAAGTACTTAAGTTCTATGTACGTTTTATTACGTTTTTCAGATTAGGTAAGGAAAAAAATAAAGGTTAGGTAAGAATAAATTAGGTTTTCTTGACCAATTAAAGATAGATACAAAAAAATCTCGAATTATTCTCTATCAGGATGTGTTACACTACAAACATGTTTACATCTATATCTTATAGTTTGTTATGCATCTGATGTATTACTATAACTGATGTTAACAGCGAGCAGATATCTCAAAATTTATTTATGAGATTGTATATCAAATTAAAATATGATAAATGTACACTAGAAAATAGCTTATGAGATCATTAATGGCCCATATATATTATAAACTCATCTCTTGCTAAGTGTGTTTTACAGCGGTAAAACTCCTCCTACTCTTAACAAATCTACTTATTTCACAAGGTTTGAGTAATGGATTATGATATGGATACATAATTAACTTTCGTGCTTCTTGTTGTGTAGATTGAGACCTTGTATAAGCTGAAGTATGGTGAATCGGGTGACTTGTTGGTTTTATGGTTGATGATGACATTCTAATTTTGGTAGATAATTTTAGGCCATATTTGATAGCATTGAACAGGACAATTTCATCGAGTACGTACGTTCATTTGGTTCAATTCCTTCTCTCCTCGATATATACTAATAAGTAAGATTTCCAGGGATACAAGTGTATTTCGAACGTAAACCTATAATTTTTCCATTGCTAGCTAGGGTCACATATTCTTAAATACTTACTGAAACGTTTGAGTTATGAGACGTATTGTTGTTGGTTCATGCTCGTCGTCGATCGTCGATGGAGTGTGTGTGTGATAGCTTCAAACTCTCTTTCTGATTTCGTAGCCTTATCAGCATTTTGGAGCTTTTTAGTTAAACTCCAATTGTTCTTTTCACCTTTCTTGACGTTGTTGCATTTTGTAAGATTTGGACGTAGCTCTCCTCCATATGAGCAAATCCTTTACAACCTCTTGTGGAATAATAATACTGTATATCTTAGTTAACCCGAGGTTTCTCTTTTGCTTTTGATTTGAGTACATTTCTCTTGGTTCACTTGATTTAAATAAACATAAACATAAAAACATTTCCTCATACTACTGTATAGAAGATATACAATCTACTATTTATTTAATACATAGTAATTTCTTTCCTCATTTATGATCACTATCATCATTGTTTGAAGTATAAACGCAATCTGAAATATTTGTGTGTTTCTATAATTGATGTAGTTCTGAGAGAGATACGTGGCTTTCGTAGTTGTCGCTTGGGTTTTAGCTATTGGTGCGATCACTGCTATGTATCTCTGATGCGCTACATCTACAAGCAAAACATGTAAATTTTTTTCCTTTTTCTAATAGTATTTTGTGAATGGGTAAAATGGTTGAAGCATAACAAAAATCCTTTAAATACTAGTAGCAATATACTTTGTATTAAGTACGTACGTACCTTCATATCTCTATCTCAGGTGCTCTTTTGAGGATGTCGAGAAGAACAAACCCAAGTACCGGTTATTATATTGTTGCGGGTGTTTTAATTTGATTAAGAGATATTTGGGAAGTTCTTTTGTGGAGACTTTAGAAAGTTGGATGGATAACAAAGTCCACATTGTAAATCTCCTTTAGACATTTTTGTCCCTTTTTTTTTTGTGTGTGGTGATTATGAGTTTTATGGAAGAGGTATCATCAATATGTGAGATGCCCGAGTTTAATTTCGGCATTAGGTTCACACGTAAAACTCTTACCTATTAGGCTATTATCAAAAAAGTAAGGGTTGCCACATTATTACAACCTGTACTTATTCTATTCTCAGTATTTCAACATGTACTTTTGATCTCTTCATAAAACAACACAAACTTGATTTATTCTGCATAAATCAACTTATACTTTTAAAACCATCTAAAACAGTACCTCTCCAATTGAGATAGATAATCACGATTACTAAACCCGATTAAACCATTAATCACGATTACTCATTGCGTTTCACCCTAATCCAAGTCTCAACAACACCATATAACCACGTAGCTTTGGGAGAAACATCTACGGTTCCTCATAATTGGGGAAAATAAATTTTGGGATCTATCGTAAGGATTTAGGAAGTTACGAGATGCATATTAGTCCTTTGCTATGCGAAAGTGTTACAGATTTCAATCCGAAAAGCAACGCAAGTGATGAAGCTGCTTATGGTTCTGAGAAAGTCACGAATGGAGAAGACAATGAAAATTCTTGTGATGAGGCTGGTGATGGTCGTGATGAGGCTGGTGATGACGATAGAGATGTTGAAGTCGAGAATTCGACAAGCCAAATCAAGACAAAACGAAAGAGACATGAGACTGAAGATGAAGAAGACAAAAGGGAGAGTAAGACGACACGGAATAAAGATGAAGAAGATGACATAGTTGAAAGGTTCGAGTTTGAGATAGAGGATTCTGTAGCAAATTGGTTTGATGATTTTAGGATTAATCGAAATATTGTCCCAGAGAGTTCAGATGAAGAGGAAGATCCCATAGTTGTTAGAGATAGAAAAATTAGGATTGGAACAAATGATAAGTTAGCTATTGGAAGAACATTCTTAAGTGGGTTTGAGTTCAAAGAGGTTGTGTTACATCATGCTTTGAGGACAAGGGAAAACATTAAGCAAAACAGATGGGGGAAGGACAAAATGAGCTTTGTATGTGGTCAAGATAAAAGTTGTGATTGGAAAGTATACGCCGCATTCGACAAGACTCGGCAATTGTGGGTTGTGAGGACTACTTGTGGTTATCATAGATGTAAATCGAACGGGAAATGCAAGTTGTTGAAGAGTCCCGTCATTGGAAGGCTATTCTTGGATAAACTGAGGTTGCAGCCTAACTATATGCCTCTTGATATTCAAAGGCATATTAAGGAGCAGTGGAACATACTCAGTTCTATAGGACAAGTTCAGAGAGGAAGACTTCTAGCTCTTAAGTGGCTTCAAGAAGAATATGCTCAGCATTTTGCTCACCTTAGAGGTTATGCAACCGAACTCATAAATTCAAATGCGGGTTCCACTACTGTTGTCGATACCTACCCTAATGCCGATGGTGAAGATGTTTTCAACCGTTTTTATGTCTGTCTTGGAGCAATGAAACAAGCATTTTACTATTGCCGGCCTATCATAGGGATTGATGGGACTTTTCTGAAACATGCCGTCAAAGGCTGCCTATTGACTGCTATTGCTCATGACGCAAACAATCAGATATATCCAATTGCGTGGGCAGCTGTACAAACTGAAAATGCTGATAATTGGTTGTGGTTTCTAAAACTACTAAAGGTTGATTTAAATCTAAAGGATGGGCAGAAATATGTCATCATATCAGACCGTTCTAAAGTAAGTGTTCTTGTTAGGCTCAATGTTTAAACATTTGTCTTCTTTCATTTTATATTAACTTGATGTTACATATTTACTTGCTTGTTTATGTAATTATGTAGGGAATCATAAGTTCAGTGAAAAATGAGCTACCAAATATTGAGCACAGAATGTGTGTCAAACATATTGTGGATAACTTGAAGACTAGGCATGGTGATAAAGATTTGCTAAAAAAGCTGGTGTGGAATCTAGCTTGGAGTTACAACCATGCTGAATTTGAAGCAAATCTGAACAAGATTAGAGCATATGATCGGTCTCTTTATGATGATGTGATGAAGGAGAATCCAAGGAGTTGGTCAAGAGCTTATTATAGGATAGGCAGTAGTTGTGAAGATGTAGATAACAATGCCACCGAGTCCTTTAATGCTACGATTGTCAAGGCAAGGGCAAAAGCATTAGTTCCAAT